TTGGTGTTCCATTCCCTGTCAGTAGAGCCCCTAGCAAGTCACCCACTGGCTTCTGTGGCTCCCTTGGACATCTGACCTCCACCTCTCCTGAGGAGGTCAGTGGCCTTGCTCTGTTGCTGTCATGCTCTCATAGCTTGAAGGGGGTTATTCCTGCCCACTCCACTCCTCCACATCAGTTCGGTGTACTCACCTCCTTCAACATCTCCTCTGATGTTGTGGCACCTGGTCTCATCACCACCCGTAGAATAGTCTCACTGAGACTTCTCAAAGTCTTCCTAGCAGAGTATTTGTTTAGCTGATTGTTCTTAAGCTGCCGTTCTCACCATCGCAACACCCTCAGTTCCTCTGTCCCTCATCTACCATGCTTGGACGACTTCACCATTTCTCTCTCTGTTAGCATAGTCTCCTTTGGAATCTCCTAATCTAAGGTCCCTAGACTTAAGCCTGAATTTAATGCGCATGTGTTTTGAAACATTGAGAAATCACACTGAGCTGTTTTCATTTAAATTGGGGCACATATGATAATCTTGGTTCTCAGCACCTCTACTCTCTGTGGTTCTTGACAGAGCACCTAACATGGCTGAAACTTGGTGTGAACCCACGTGACCCTCCCTGTGGGTACTCATGTTCTCTTCCACGTCACAATATTTATCCTCCATTTCCTATGTGAAAATAGTGCCTGGTAAAGAAGACGAAGGAAAGCTGGAGGCGTGGGTATCAGTCTCTGTTGCAGTTTATATCACACCATCTGCCCCATGGGCTGCAAGCCTAGAGTCTACTCCTGCTGCTTGCTTCCAGCGTTATTTAAAATCTGAGATTCCTCTGCAATCCAGACCTGCCACCACACAGAAGACTGTATTTCCAGCTGTGTCGGACATTTGGGACAGTGTCTGCATGATGATATCCCAGCCCTCATCACACTGCTGTGACCAGCAACAAATGTTTGAATGAGTTATCTCATGAATGCATTAAATCCTAACTCTATCTTCTCTCCCTCTCCCAACTCCACTTCTGTAAACAGTATTCTGTTTTTATACTCAGATTGGGAACTGACATCCACCTCATAGAGAAGCCAACTATTTCACATAAGACTTTAAAATCTTGAAATCATCTTTAAACTTACCCTATTTTTCTTCCAAAGTTCTTAGCAGTCCCAAAGTCAGTGTCCTTTGTTCCATGAAATGCCTTTCTGGTCCCATGTTCTGTCCTTTACTGTCCCTTGCCACCCACGCCTTCACCAGCTGACTCACTACTCCTGGACCAGGGCTATCACCATCCTCATAGCTTTCACAAATCCCATTATTATTCTGCTGAAGGAACAAGAGGTTCCTTTTGTAGAACCCCTCTTCCAGACTCCACCAGAGAGTCTTACTGTCCCCAGCTTCCCTCTGAATTGTCTTGCTGATTGCCTATTCACATGCTTTGTTCTAGTTAACTTGCAATTAGTAGCACCTTCACACATGTCTTCCTTATTCCTGGGTACATATCTGCTTCAGTCCAAGTACCTGAGTCAGTACGCATATGCTTTTTAGAAGGTTTCCCCCAGGCTGCTTCTCTGTCTAAACCCTGCAGCAATTCCACCTTTCTCTGGGAAGCATTGTGTGATTGCATTCAGATAATTTTGTCTTATAAAAATTTTTAATTGTCTCAAGCATGTATAGCTTTCCAAGCTTATTATTGATTGATTATATTTAATTTGTCAGAGTCAAAATCTTCATGTGCTTTTTGTTCCCATCAAAGTAGTTTATGACAGAGATAGACGCATGCCTAGGAAAAGCTAAATAAATAAACACTAGTTTCCTTCATCCACAACATGCAACCTATTTGCGAGCCCCCATCTGAAGAGGAAATATAAACAGTGTATGTGTTTAGTGTTGTTCTCTAAGAACTGCTGTCACCCTGGCCCAAACACCCTTTGCAGTGGCTCACTGGATGCTAGCAGCAGAAGTATTTCTTCACTTGACTACTGGCTTCCATTATGAAATGCGCTCGCTCTCTCTCTCTCTCTCTCTCTCTCTCTCTCTCTCTCTCTCTCTCTCTCTCTCTCTCTCTCTCTCTCTCTCTCTCTCTTTGGTAAGCTGAAGTTAAGCATATGTATAATAATACTAAGTGTGTCCGTATCCACATGACCAAAGTAGTGGGAAGCAACAACTTTGAAAACTTAGACAAATAACTTTGAAAACTTAGACATTGTACAGGTAAACAGCACGGAGGCTTTCACATAATAGCCAGGACTGAAAGAAAGTTAAGAGTTCTTAGCCATAGCCTGTGTACTTGTTGGGGTTTTCATTGCTGTGATAAGCACTGTGACCAAAAGCCAAGCTTATTTCACATTTCACATTGCAGCTCACAGTCCATCATGACAGGAAGTCAGGGCAGGAACCTAGTGACAAGACCTGACGCAGAGGCCATGGAGAAGTACTCCTTACTGGCTTGCTCTCCATGGCTTGCTCAGCCTGCCTTCTTAGGGGTGGATACCCACAGAGAGTTAGCTGTCCCACATCAATTATTAACCAATATCCCACACACTTGCCTACAGGCTAATCTAATAGAGGCATTTTCTTAACCTGGGCTCCCGGAAGACTCTAGCTTGTGTTAAGTTTGCAAAAACCAACCAGCAGAGCCTCCTTATCTGACTTCTGGCTATACATTGAGAAAGTAGTCAGCAGTCTGCCTTTGCCCAAAGCCACGTTTTTTGATGTTTGTTTGTTTGGTTTTGGTTTTTCAAGACAGGGTTTCTCTGTATTTTTTTGGATGCTGTCTTGGAACTCACTCTGTAGACCAGGCTGGCGTCGAACTCACAGAGATCCACCTGCCTCTGCCTCCTGAGTGCTGGGATTAAAGGCGTGCACCACCAACGGCCGGCTTCAAAGCCACGTTTTGTAAGCCCATGTTTTGCTGGATGAAATTTATCAGACTCTTTCCTGTCTCAGAATGGGGTGAAGGGATCCTTTGGTAGCCATAGGAGGAGAAAGAAAAGGAACCTGAAAATCAGAGCAGGAGAAGTTGAAACAACTCTGACAATTTAGACAGATGTCAGGCAGCTCTTCCATGTAATTGCGTTGGGGTTTCCAGTGGCCACTCTGTCCAATTGCTTTCCTGGCTAATATGAAGCCTGATTTTATGTTGCTTGCCATTCAATAAGTGAGCTCCCGACTTCGGTTATGTGACCACCTGACAAGATAAACCAAAGAGTTTAGCGTCTTCAGTTGCCTGCAGGACAGGACAGCAGATTCTCAAGAACACCGTAGATCATTGCTCGGAGCTCTCATTACTCTCTTCCACAGCTTTTGGGGTCTGCTGTGTGCTGGGCCCAGGGCCAAACATTAGGAATGTCATAGCAAGATAGAGACCTAAAATTAGATCCTTGTTGGCCTTTAGTTATAGCCCTGGTCACATGATCTACACAACTACCAACCACTTTTATTTTAGTATCCTGAAGAAGGGACTTTAGCAAACCTAGATCCTTTCCTTAGAGTACTGGCCATAATCATACAAAGCTGTATAAGGCAGCAGTTGGCTTAGGAAACCTAAGAGGAACTTCCTTGAAGTGATAGCAGTAGGATTTGTAGGCACGTGGTCATGAATAGAACCTTCCAGATTTCTCATGGAAGAATCACAGCTTGACCTCAGGCTCTCCCATGTTTCATAACAGAAACTGAGACACAGGGCATAAGTGCCAGCCACTGGCCTTGTGCAAAGTTGTTTTCAGCTGTGATCATCAGTCATATTGCTCGCCCCAGTCCCCTCCCCCCCCCCAAGACTCCTACCATACATCTGTGGCTAAAGATCTGGTCATATGTATGTGAGAGTCCTGACACTGGCCTTAACAGGATGCTCTTAATCTCTGAAACAGATGGAATTGCCAACTAAAGGAATAATGAACTGACGTAGACTGTCAAGCCACTGTTCTCAAGTTAACCAGTGGGGACATGTTATAAAATAAAGCATTTTGTTCTTAGTTTTTGTAACCTATCCACTTCTGGAAGGGATGAGACATGATATTTATGAAGCACAAAATATAACACCCAGAAATTAATTCAAAATAAATATAAAAAATTAAATAGTAAGCAATTTATCGAAGGAAAATATTATGTTAAGAGACCCAGAATAATCATTTCTGAGCATCCTCATAGATTAAGCATGGGGTGAAACTTAAAGGTTGTAAGCTTCATGGGAAATAAAACAAACATACCAGATTCTTGAAAGAAAATTTTTGCTAGCCCATTCCACTCAGAACCACTGTGGGAGTCCTTAAATACTTGAGCAACATAAATAACTGTTTTTAAATAAATTAAACTAGCATGTGGCTATTTTTATAATAACCATTACTGAAAATGGAAGCCTTCATGTAGAATTAGTATAATTTTCTCCTAATTCATTGTTCAGACAATTAAGCAAGCAATGTGGACTGGACACATAACTGTTTCATGGTTACTGAATAAAATTTAGAGGACCTACATATTTGATAAATAACAGAATAAACAACACCCTTGCCATCTATGTTTTGTATATGCAACAAGTGATCTTTCAAAACAGTAATGTGTGGCACAGCTATCCTCACACTAGTGACTCCATCCCTGGCTTCCTGCCTATGGTTCCTGCCATTACTTTCTGGCAGATTTTTGACAGAGGCTAAATGGCAGAGATAGTGCTCTTTTATGAAGTTTTAAGATGCTGACCAGTATTCTATAAAAGCAGCACTGTAGGCCGGGCAGTGGTGGTGGTGCATTCCTTTAATCCCAGCACTCAGGAGGCAGAGGCAGGCGCATCTCTGTGAGTTCAAGGCCAGCCTAGTCTACAAAGCTACACAGAGAAAAATCCTGTCTTGAAAAATTAAAAAAAATTTTTTTAATTAAAAAAAAAAGGGCGGCGGGAGTGAGGGCACTATAGCTGTGCCTCTAAGCAGAGCCAACATGGCCCTAAAAACAAGGTTTGAGTCACTCAGTACTTGAATAAATGCTATGAAACTGTTGACAACACCACCCCTTGAATTGCAGGCACGGTGGTTGAGGAGAGCAATGGTTCTGATGAGGTGGAGAAATCAGATGAAACAAAGATGTCAGAAGAGATACTGGCTTTGGTGGATGAGTTTCAGCAGTCCTGGCCTCTGGAAGGCTTTGGGGGAACACTAGAAATGAAGGGGCGGCGTCTGGACCTGCAGGGAATACGGGTACTGAAGAAAGGTCCCCAGGATGGAGTAGCCAAGAGCTCTTGTTATGGAGACTGCAGAAGTGAAGACGATGAAGCAACGGAGTGGGTAAGGATTTGCCAGCTCAGAGCTGAGGAGAAGGCCCCGTCAGGCAAGCACAAGAACCAGAGTTCAATCCCCAAAGCCCACATTACAAAGCCAAGCGTAGTGGCATGTGCTTGTAAGGCCAGCATTGGGGAGGCAAAGGCAGGAGAATCTGTGTGGTTTGCTGGCTAGCCTTATCAGGAACCCCAAGCCAAGGAAAGACCCCATCTCAAAAACGGAGATAGACAGCTCCTGAAGATGTATACTTCTAGTTGTCCTCTGACCGCCACACTCATGCATACCAGTGTGTGTACACAAACACACACTTGAACACAGAACATACACACATGCATCCACACAAACACATACTTATACACAAGTTCTGGTTCACCACTTCAGTCTTCATGAAGTGTATCCAACTCTTTGGGGACTACTAATATACAACTGTGAAGGTTTCTGGATGTGTGGCTCTACCATACTCCACATTCCAGGACACTGTTCACCCTGGAATTTTCCAGGAAGCATTTCATTTATATAAGCATTACTGACTTCTGGGAGGTGAAAAGAACTGGGATGGTTATAAAGCACCCTCAAAGCCACAGACTTGGGACAGATGAGATGCTTCTTTTTAGAATCTCTATGTGCTCATCAAGACTAGGTTATTTTGCACATTTCCCTATCAATTTTTCATTTAAATCTTTAAAATCAAACTTAGCCAGATGCAGTATACACCTGTAATTCAGCACTCAGTAAGCTGAAGCAGGAGAATGACAGGAGCCCAAGAATTCAAAACTAGCCTGGGCAACATAGCAAGATTGTTCAGACTACTACTACTAATAACAACAGTAGTAATATAATAAGCTTAAGGATTTGATTTTGGAAGATATTTCTGCTTTTCAAACTATACATTTTTTTAATTGGAAACCAGGAGACTATCTTAGTATATAGAATAGTGAGTGCACTCATGAGTCCTTCCCCTCATCTCAAGTACTACCCAGCCACAGTAGCACAGATGTCTTGTCTCAGCATTCCACAGGGGAAAGGAAGCAGAGACAGGAGCATCCCCAGAAGCTCTCAGGACAGCTAGCCTGGGTTACACAACAATGAAGATACCTTGCCCCAAGACAAGGTTGCAAGGCAAGGACCAAAGCTGGAAGGTGGTCCTCTGCTTTCTACACACGAGCCATGCCATACAATACCTGGACTGCCCCCCACATAAACACAAATGAGCACACACATATGCTCACATCTCACACACACGGGTTTTTAATTGATCCATAATAATTATACATATTTATGGGGTAAATATATCTAAACATATATTTGTATCTCCAATGGATGTTTCCACATGTATACATAATATGATTGTGCAGCAATCAAATCAGGGTATAGTGTATCTATCCAGGTTATTCTTTTTAATATAATATTCTTTGAGAATGCCATATGTATATGTGTATTCCATATATATATATTGTATTTGCTCCTGCTGACTCCTCTAAGACCCACTACTCTCACCCTTTATTTTTTCTTTATAACCCACCCAGTTGAGTTTGGGTACACATACAGTAACGAGTGTGGGACCATCCACTGAAGTGTGTTCAACCCACATGGTACCAAACCCTTAATGAAAACTGACTCTTCCTCCCCCAGAAGTCACCAGCTATCAGTTTTTCAGCTAGGAATGGGGGCTTATGAGCCTTTCCCCTCATCCAAACTGGAAAGTTGACTGGATTAATCTTTATGAAGGTAATTACAGCTTCTCTGAGTTTATGAGTATAGTGAACCTGCCATTTCCAGAAGACCTTGTTTTGCTCCAGCCCTCCCTGACTTCTGGCTCTTAGTCTTTCTTCCTTCTCCTCCTCGGTTGTCCTGAGCCTTGTGAGGAGAGGGTGTGATATAGCTGTCCCACTGTGGATGGACACTCTTGGTGTTTTGACCAGTTTTGAGTTTCTGAGTTAACCACCATTCACTACACAGACTTCCCCAATGCATCTGAGAACTGCACTAATTAGTTGAGTATAGAGATACAAATTTCAGAGCCATTTTGCTATTGTGTCCATTTAGCAGAACAGTAGTTATGGATTGATCCCACCTTAGCCCCTGAAGCCATGGGTTCTTGGTCAGATTTACAGCACTGGATATATTCTTTCTGTCCTGTGGGGCAGATCTTGGATCAATCAGATAGCAATTGGTTATCCCCATAGTAACCATGATAATACTGCATACCAGAACATATCCTGCCATGCAGGTTATTATTCACAGCTGAATAAAACTGTCAAAGCCTTTTTTTCCTCTAATAGCCTGTTTAGCACCTTCTGGTGCTATGAAAGACAGCTAGTGAGGAGGAAGCTTTCCAGTCAGTATCAACTTGATTTTTCCATGTCCTCTGACCAAAGTGTGTGGTGTCCTCAGAAACAGGGTCTTGATCATCAAGTTCTAGTGGAGTAGCTTATACTTAAAACTACTGAAATCTACAGTGAGGGAGAGTCAGTCACTCGTTTGTCTCATTTGTTTCTAACATGTTTTTGATTCCCAGATCACATTCCAGGTCAAACGTGTAAAGAAACCCAAAGGGGATCATAAAAACCCTCCTGGTAAAAAAGTAGAGTCAAATCAAGCAGAAAACGGAAAGCGCTACCAAGCAAACCTAGAGATCACTGGCCCAAAGGTGGCATCTCCTGGACCCCAAGGTAAGGGAGACTGTCTCAGCTCATTTCTTCTTTCAGATCACTGTCTCTCCCGTAAGGGATGTGTTTTGTAACTTAGAGCAGTTCAGATGAGAAGGTGAAAGACCATGTCGGTCATTAGTATAAGAAATTTTTTCAGGCTCCTATATTTGACCATTATTTGTGTGTGCTAAAGGCCACCATCATATACCCAGGTGACTTTTTCATCCCAGCAGCTAAATGGTAGGGAGATAATTCCTCTTTTAAAAATGTGATATCACTTTTTAAAGGAATATTTTTACTATCTTAGACCAAAAACTCAATTCATTAAAATCCATCTTATTTAACTAAACAAAAACACTGACTAGGGCAACAGTAGAATATACAGAATAGAATGTATTATCCAAACTCGGGGTGCGCCCTAATAAGATCTACACACAGCACTACCAGGGTAACATAATGTCCAGTCAGTAGCAGCCATGGCAGAGCAAACGTAAACAATTAAGATTTTTGCTCACCAGATTATCTCTAAATGTGTAGTACACAGTGAAAATTAACAGAGCAAACCTAAGGTTAGTTTGACAAGATGAGTCAGAGGAATTTAGAACATATCAGTAATTAATTCACTCTGGGAAAGTTGCCTTGGAGAAACCAAAGACATGCACAGAGATGCTGATTACACAGGCTAGCCAATAAGCAGCCTAAATACTGTACTATCCTGGTTAAGCCACAGCGTGTCTGTGGTATATGTTGTACAACAAAGAAACACAACACAGCAAGTGAGTGAGGACAGTCTATGAATGGTGTAAGGATGTTTCCATCCTGAGAGTCAAACACACTGCGTTTTATCAACTATATTTTTCTCACATTCCAATATCTCTGACACATGACATACATGTCATCATGGCAGGAATTGTCTGAAGCAGTCCATCCCATGGAGTTGATGGCCTCCTAGATCAGTCACAGCTGGCCTAGCAAGCAAGCATGTGTAAACACATGTAGAAGCAGGTGACCACAGCACTATGGATGCCCTCTGTGGGTTCAAAGAAATCTGTAGATGATTTGTATTTTCTTCTTTGTGGCCTTTCCATTTTATAAATATTTTCTAATGGCCCTGTATTACTTGAAAGAAACCAAAAGCTTCTTACAAAGAGAATTTTAAAGCTAACCTGACAGATTATCTGAGAGCATCTAGACGAGTGTGTGTTTGATTGCTTACTTTCTTTTGGCACTCAGGGGTTTGAGATGATGACTTTGTTCATGTTAGGATAGTTCTCTACTTCTGAGCTACACCATGGTCCCACTTTAGCAGTTCCAAATGGTCTCAGCTTAATAGGCACAAGTGGGGCATTGAAGGTACTTGCAAATGAGATCATGAAGCTACTTACTCTCCTTAAAAAAGAATGCTCAGAATGGAGAAGGTGCGAAAATACTACAGAGGGTTAGTAGCCCAGTTTAAATAAGTATGTATTCTGTCCACTTCCAGCTAATAAACTTCTGATAAATCATGTCCAAGTCCTAAAGCAAATTATTGAGCAAATGTTTGTAAACCTGTGGGGAGAAATGCAGATCATTGAGAGCCGTAGTAGCTACACTAAGTACTAATAATAACATTGAACTAATTTCATTTCCTTTTTTGGCTAGGGCTTCTAAACTGGAAGACCAGGGAAGTGCCATAGACATAATGTAACTGGATTTCAGCAAGGCATTTAACAACCTCTTATGATATCCTTGTGAACAAGATGGAGAGATGTGGGCTCGAAGTTTCCCACTGCCTACAGGATAAAGTGCAGACTTCCTAGTGTGGCATTCAAGACCCTTTATAAACCAGCCTCTCTCCACCCTTCAGCACCACCTATGAAGCAGCCATGCTCTTATTTTACCCACGCCTTTGTCCATGCTATTCCCTCTGCCTGGAATGTCCTTACACCACCTCTGCGGTGCTAATATTGCTCACCCCTAAACTTGAAAGTCAAGTGCCATTTCTCCCTTGCTACCTCCAGCACTATGCTGTCACAGTGTAACAGTTTGCTTATGTTTGCCTTTCCCACTAGCCTGTGAGCTGCAGAGCAGGCTGCCTCTTTCTTTCTGTGTGTATCCCAGTGTGTTACACAGTTCCCAGACCCTTATAATAGGTGCTCAATAAATATTTTTTCAAGTGAATTTCTTAACTATAAAAGGAAAGTGAGCTTTATTATGAAATGTATGCTTTATTTAAAGTTCATTTGAAATTCTTCCAAACTGTTCTTTTTTGCTTTATTAAAATCTGAATCTAAATCCCTGCCTGTACCTCAAATGTTTTTCTCTTGCTGGTAAATACCTACAGTGTAAGTAGAGCTAAGGTTCTCCATCCTGCCCACCCCCATCAGAAACCCATCACATAAGACTTGGGTTTGCTCTTTCTCTGGGACTTGATCTGAAGTGAAGGCCTCAGACTGAAAGGGTGGTGCCTTTCCTAGCACCAGAATTGGGCACATGTGTGTTAGGGTCAAATAACCTGTGTCGGTCTGACTCTTCTCCTCCAGCCAGAGAACTATGGCTGTTTCCGCCTGTGAGTTGTGAAGACGAAAGCCTAGTGAGATTAGGAGTTGCAAATACTGAGTTCAGCTTCTGATCACACAGTAAACACCCTTGGAATAAATGGTGACCTTACATTGTCATAGATCCCATCCTGATACTTTTGTTTGTGATTCTGACAGGGATGATTTTGTACCTATGGAACATTTGGCAATGTGGTGACACTCCTTGGGGAAGCTGTGCTACTGAAATCTAATGGGTTGATAGATTTAGGTGCTGCTAAAATGCCCTCCAGTGCCCTAAGTGTCCCTACAACAAAGCATTCTCAAGCCCAAAGATATCTGTTCCCATTATGTCAGAATTATCCCCATAAAATCAAACCCAAAAGGGTAAAGGTTAAACATGGTAAAAATGTTAATGTCTAAGAGTATCTTAATCCCTGCTTCATGTTGATGAACTTCAAATACAACAAGGGATTTGATTTTTATTTCATCTTTGAGAAGAAAGCCTTATTCAGGGGGATTTTTATTCCCATTGCCACGAATGATAAGATTTTAATTAGATCTGTTTGTTGATGGTGCACAAGAAGAAAACTAGGCACCACCAGTTTATGTTATGTCATCAATAGGGGAAACAGAAGCTTGGCTTCCATTCCTTTGTACTGTGTCCATTCATGACATACTTTCCTTCCAGGAAAAAAACGTGACTACCAGAGTCTGGGGTGGCCCAGTCCAGATGAATGCCTCAAACTCCGCTGGGTGGAGCTAACTGCCATTGTGAGCACCTGGCTGGCAGTTTCTTCCAAAAACATTGAGTGAGTATCTTTGACGTGACCTTCCTCATGGAATTTCCTTACCCATGAACCACAAAGGCCTCAACTGACTCTAGCCATGGTGTCATGGGTGGGTGGAAGTCATCTTCCTGACACTGTGGTCAACAGCATGACTATTGCTACCCATGGCCTAGATGGACTCAGTCCATACAGACTGATAAATGAACCCCATTCTAGGTACCTTCATCTGCACCTGGCAAGCTGTCAGAAGTTTGAAGACAAATCCTTCTCTTTAGAAATACAGAGGCCATTGCATAAACATTATGCATTTTTAGGGAGGTAGGGCAAATCTAGATTTACCAGCACCTGTGAAGATGCTGACTTTGGTTACTTTCTGTCCTGGAAGTGTTGCTGTTCCTCTAGATTTGCTAACCTTGTTCCAGAACTTCCTTCACCACTGAGAGCAGTGATCCCTCCCAAATTTGTATCTCTAGACCAGACCACTCTTCAAAGCCCCAGACTTATTTATACCCACCATCTCAAGAAAACACACAATTTTCTTAGCCAGGATCTAACTTTTTTTTTAAAAATTGATTTTGTTTTCTCCATTTCACATTTTTTTAGAGATTCATTTGTATTTCTTAACGATGTTATGTGTGTGGATCTGTGCATGTGTGAATGTAGTGCCCATGGAGTTCAGACAAGGGCATAGAGTCCCATGGAGCTGTTGCTGCAGGAGGTTGTGAACCACCTGCCATGGGCACTGGGAGCTGCAGCTGGTGTGTGCTCATAACCACTGAGCCATGTCCAGCTCCTCCATTCATATTCTAACCTGGATATCGTCCTTATAATTCTTTTCCTTATCCCTCAAACATTGTCTGTTACCAATTCTTACGACTTTTACTCCCTGAGAACTTTTCAAAATTGCTTTTCTGTATCCACATTGCTGCTCCAGAGTGCCTCTGCTGCCACACAGATGCATGCATAGCCTTCTAACAAGACGTCTTCCCTTGCTCATTCTTGTCTCTGTCGGTCCCTGCTATGAGAGTTCTCTGGGTGTAAGTCAAGCATTCTTGCTCTGCCCGTGCCCCTCTCAGTCATAGCCTTCACACCAAGGCCTTTGAGCTCTGCTGTCTCAGGAAAGCTGCCATAATCACCCTCCTCATGGTGCAGAGGAAATAAATACCCTCATAAGCACATTTGTATTATTTCATGTTTTATAACTTACCCCTTCCAAGATATGAGTAGCATAATAGCTGAAACTGTATATGTTTGCTTAATTATTATAGCCTTGGAATCTGATATGCAGTAGGTTTGAAATAAATGATCAGTGGAGCAATGAATGTTTCCCAAATGTAAGTTAAAGTTTTTAAATTTAAGTTTCAAAGTAAAATTTGGTAGTGCCGAATTACCATTTGTAGTGCATATGATTGTTTATATGTTCACAAAGTTCTTTTCCAGAAGGCCAGAGTTCATAACCAGCCCCATATGAATGGTTCATAACCACCTATAACTCCAGCACCAGGGATATCTGTGTCCTCTGGTCACCTGCACACACATGCACATACCCACACAGAGACACATACATAATTTTAAAAAAAAAAACCCTTGAGATCATGAAGTAAAGTACTTTTATTTGATACCCATTACAATGAGTGTCCAGCTGGGTCTGTATAAATGTACTGTCTAACTTTTAGATGGCTTTTTCTTTGAGCACAAGTATGGTTCTGTGTGTAAAGGAAAAGTAGGCTGTAGGAATTGTTGAGTGTCTTACTGCTATCTGTTCCCTAAAAGGAGAAAACCTACTTATTTCAGACCCTCCTTGGTGAGGGAGCACCATGTGGAAGTTAGATCTGCTGTTTGTTAGAGCTCTCTCTACCTATTTGGATTTTTCATGTCCGATGTGGTCATCTCCATTTTTCAGCATCACAGAACACATAGACTTTGCCACACCCATACAGCAGCCAGCAATGGAACCGCTGTGCAATGGCAATCTCCCCACAAGCATGCATACCCTGGACCACTTACAGGGAGTGTCCAACAGAGCCAGCCTGCACTACACGGGTGAGAGCCAGCTAACAGAGGTGAGTACTCAGCCTTGTTTGGACTGTTGTCGTGTAAACCTCACAGTTTTGATGTAACTAACAGCAGGAAGCAGGACTCTTGCTTTTGCAGGGTGGGATGGTGGTGACTTAGGCAGCTTTTCAGCTGAGCCCAATTCCTTTCAGGTCTTAGGACAGAACTTGTGCTTCTTATGACTGTAACTAACACACCCCTCAGTGAGCTAGCCTCTGCCTTCCACAGAGAGGCTGAGGACAGAAGCATTTGGGGCAGCTATTTTCCTGTTGACATTCTTAAGAAAGGCAGGAGGGCTGAACCAGAATATACCTATCACAGCAATAGAAACCCTAACTAATACAAATATATTTGTTGGCATGAAGAAGATTTTGGAACATATTATATGAAAATATAGACTATGGTATAAACACACACACAGCAAATATCTGAAAAATATATGTAAGGGTATTAACAGTGCCTGTGTAGATGACAGAACTGCAAGTAGTTTTGTTGCCCTTATTTTCGGGTGTTGCTGTGATAACTGTGTTTTATGTGTCTGTAATTTTTATTAAGTGGGAGAGGACCATGGGCTGTCAGGGTCACCGTAATAGTGTCTTCCCCAGACTGGCTCCCCAGTAGATGCACAGCAGTGTCCCAGAAAAGCATTTTGATGTTATGCTCCAGCATCCAAATGCAGTCTTATTTTCAGCCCTCTCATCTACCATCTCCTTCTGTAACAGGTATTGCAGAATCTTGGCAAGGACCAGTATCCTCAACAGTCACTTGAACAAATTGGCACCCGAATCGCCAAGGTTTTGGAAAAAGTAAGTCCCCCAAGGTGACTAGTCCCCTTTGACTTCTTAGTAGACTGTTGGTTCCTACATGACTATCACCTCTTCTGCCTATGACTGACATGACCAGAGGCCCGGGGAGAAGTGCCCCCACCCACAATATCTCCATCACCATTTGTCACTCTCGTCCACACCTCTTTGCCTTCTGGGATGAGGCATGCCAGGTCAGCGTTGTCTCCTTTCTTCTGCCTGTGTGTTGAGAGTGCTGCTGGGAACTCTGGGACCTAGAACAGGAAGTGAGACAGAGTGTGGTGCTGACAGGAAATACCTTATGAAATAGCTTTTCTACCCCAATCCTGAAGCACATTTACAATACTGCACTTCCTACAGCCTGGAGGAGGTACCCAAAATCCCAAGATGACTTTTCTACTTCAAGAAGAGGAGTTGAATTCTTAATTAGATTACTTTGTAGCTAAGGATCTGTCTGGTATTAAAGAAATTATGTATAGTTGTGGTTAAGAAAGGCAACTCACTTCAGTGTCAGTATGACAGATGCAGTAACAACTGCCTTCCTTTGGGTATCACACATGGCAACTGTCCATTTGTAATAAAAGTGGGGCACAGATGCGATCTACAGACCCAAGCAAACAGTAAGAAGTAAAGATCGCCAAAAGTGCTTGAGGTCAGCATAGAGGGCGTGTGGGAGGGGGATGCAGAAGACAGGCTGGGATAGGCATTCCCAAATATGTCCTCAGAAGTCCTCTACCTGAAAGGAAAACCTTGGGTGATGCAGATAGCACTACAGTAGTTACCCAGACTCAGGACCACTACACAGGAGCAACAGGACTCATCAGAGAGCACTCAGCAGTGATACCCTGCAGGGCCAAAAGCACAATTTAGTCTAGAGTTCCTGGCATGAACTTAAAAAGTATCATGAAACAACTGACTTTATGAATCAAGATCACAGAGCAAAACTAAAAACTCAGGGAGGGGTTAGCAATGATATGAAAACAGGATTCTCACCCTGAATGCTAGCAAACAGAGAGATAGTAATAGGAGGGAATGTAGATTGGAAGAAAAGGGAGGCACGGGAAGGAAAGGGGGGGGGGAATGAAAGATAATAAAAAAGAATGGAAGAAAACATGACAGGAAAAAAATGTAATCCAAGATAGAATTAAATGAGACTTAGCAAGTTCTCTTATTTCTGTAAAATATGTCTAGTTAAAAGGGCATGTTGTATGGCAGAGAAACTGATCCAAAAGAGTTAGCAATGATGCTTATCCAAGCAAATTATTCTATTTTAATAAAGCAAGAGAGAGTTCTTGACACTTATCTCCTGACACAGCAGTTCCAGAGAGATCGCCCCACTTCAGAAGAACTGCATCCTGCACAGGGTAAAATGCTTCTCAGTTGTCATTGGTCTTACCCAAAGCAACTGTCCACATCTTTATATTCATTTAAAAACACAAACAAACCAGAAATAGGAATGTGAGCTCACTGAGATCAAAGTTAGAGCTTAGATAGAGTCTGCTGGTCTGGAAGACAATGAGGAGCCCAGGCCTGATGCTGGGTCTGGAGGATGATGAGGAGTCCAGGACTAGAGGAACTGAACCCTGGACTCCCACTCGGAGCCAGCAAGTCTGCAAGAACAACTTAGCTAGGCTTGACAGAAGGAGACGGCTGGCAGATTTAAAAGAGAAGCAATGGCATATTCAAAAGAATTACAAATGGAAGAAATTATTTCCAGCCGAAGACAAAAGCAAGCATGCTGGAGAACACAAACAGGGTCATTCTTTTCATCAAAAGGAGGGAGATCTGCAGGTGAAGAACCAAGGCTGATAGTGAGGTCAAGGCCAACACGATCTAGACAGTAAGTCCTTGTTTCAAAAATATAAATCAGGAGAACCCCCCAAAAAACAGGAAATGCCATAAACACACATACACACACACACACACACACACACACATACACACAGGAAATAAAGGAAAAGTAAAAAGCTAGATATAAAAGAAAGAAAAAGTCCTGGAACTGGAGAGACGGCTCATCAGTTAAGAGCACTGACTGCTCTTCCAAAGGACAAGGTTCATTTCCAAGTCCCCACATGGTAGCTCACATCTGTCTGTAACTCCAGTTCCAGGGGATCCAACACCCTCATGCAGGCAAAGCACCAATGAACGTTAAAAAAAAAATACTGCTCTTGCCAAAGAATGAAAGAGAAAGAGAGAGAGAGAGAGAAAGAAAGAGAGAGAGAGAGAAACCCAGTAAAATACCCAAATAATAGGAGTTCTTTAAAAAGCCAAAGCAAATATTAAAATTATAATTTGTAAAAATAAACTGCATAGAGAGATCCTGCCTAATAAATAAAGAAAAATGAATAAAATAAACAACTAAAAGAAATGGAATACCATATACTTGGGGAATTTAACAAAAATATATTTTAATAAAATTTTATTTTTAATTGCTAGTCTCCCTCTCTCCTTCCTCCTTTCCCTTCCCCTCCTCTTCCCCCATCTCTCCTTCCCTACCTACCTACCTCCAAGCCCCCCCAGCTCCCCTTCTCTCTCTCTCTTTCTCTCTCTCTCTCTCTCTCTCTCTCTCTCTCTCTCTCTCTCTCTCTCTCTCTCTCTCTCTCTCTGTGTGTGTGTGTGTGTGTGTGTGTGTGTGTGTATTATTTTGAGAACAGACATGTACATCTCGGGTCTTCAGTTCTGTACACAAGTGCCTCTTCCTACTGAGCCATCCCACCTGTCCCTGAAAGTATTTAGAGAAGCTCATGTTGCTACGTTTTCAACAAAATCTCAATTCCAGAAGTCAAAGGAGTAAGAGTTTTAGGAAAGGAAAAAAAAACTGTAAGCCTTGAGCTGCAAAGTTGAGCATGAATATATAAAGTCTATATGCAAATGGTGATGAGCTTGCAGAGACTGGTGCTCCCATGCACCCCTTCTGAGAAGCTACCTATGAGGGTTTACGCTCTGGACAGCCTAGATGACCATACTAGCAATGGTAGAAGGGACTGATGTCAAACATGGTGTCTTCCTGCCCAGCTAAGATGCTCTATAGAAGCCACACCATATATAATGATCCATCCTCTGAAAATACAGGCATGCTACAGCTGTCAAAAATAAATTGATTAGGGACATACATAAAAGATAAGATCAGAGTACTCATTAATTACTAGGTACAGGTTAGGAGTTGAAGATTATATGCTGATTTAGAAGAAGGAAGGATTGTGAGGAAAAACAAGAGCCAATAGGGTGTAACCCAGATGTGAGGTAGCAGAGCATCACATATTAACACTGGGATTAAGGCATTACAATATAGGTACACTGTGAGCTTTCCTAAATACCAAAAGATAGACTGGAAAAGGATTGAGTAAAGTGGGCATACAGGAAACGAGTAAATACACACAGGTCCTTGCAGATGCATTCAGGGACTGGGACAAGCTCATTAGTCACAGCCATAAATGCAAACGGGTTTACCTCACCTATTAAAAGAACAAGACCTTTCAGAGTAGTCAAAAAGCATGAGGGGCTAGAGAGATGACTCATTGGTTCAGAGCACTCGTTCTTCCACAGTACCCGGATTCAGTTCCCAGCATCCACAGGGACACATAACTATCTCCAGTTCTAGGGGCCCTGATGCCTTCTGGTGCACATATAAATACAGGAAAAATAACTATAGATTTTTTTTATTTTAAAAGCATGTCCATAGGTTATGCTGAGCTCAGTAATACCTACATAAAATTTAGTAAGATTTAAAAATACAAGATTTTAAATGGGCAAGTCATACAATGCAAATACCAAACCTACTGAAAGCCTTAAGGACACAGGGAAAACACCAGTTTCTTTGTGGTTGGTGATGTAGCACTCCAAGCTTAGTACAGAGAACAGCTGTCCTGTGTTCCCAGTTCTGTCCTTTCCACTACACTCACCTGAAGTCACTCACACGGCAGAGGGGAGACACCCAAGACTACTGCATGTATGTATCCGATGCCCCCTGGGAAGGCTGTCTCTACCTTAGCAAAGTGTGTGACTCAAGTTTCTGGCCAGAGACTATGTTACCCACCTTTAATCCCTCACATCCACCTTCAGGGAAGCAATAGTGAGATCAGTAGTGCCTCAGCAGAACTCCTGGAAACCAGGAGCCATCTTACTATGCTGCATAAAGAAAATGGCAAGTCCAGAATTCTGTGCCAGCAGAGGAACCCTTCAGAAGCTGAGGAGAAAGAAGATGTGTTCAGTTTATCAAAAACTAAGAGATCTCCACTAGTAGATCTAAACTGAAATAAAATGTAAAGGGATTTTCCACGAGCTTCGTTCAGCTGTCTCTGTAGATTTCTCCATCATGATCTTGGCCTCCCTTGCTCATATATTCCCTCCTCCTTCTCTTTGACTAAATTCCCAGAGCTTGGCATGGTGCTTGATAATGGATCTCTGCATCTGGTTCCATCAATTACTGGATGAAGGCTCTATGATGGTAGTTGGGGTAGTCACTGATCTGATTACAAGGGAAGGCCAGTTCAAGTCCCCTCTCCACTATTGCTAGGAATCTTAGCTGAGGTCATCCTTGTAGATTAGCTGAACCAAGTTCATGGAAACTCATGAACACTATCTGAGGGGGCCCCTGGCAGTAGGACTATGATCTATCCCTGGTACGTGAGCCCATGTTGGAGCCTATTTCCCATGAAGGGATGCCATGCTCAGCCTTAACACAGTGGGGAGGAGCTTGGTCCTGCCCCAACTTAATGTGCCAGACTTTGTTGGCTCCTCATTGTGCCCTTACCTGTTGGGAGGAGTGGATGGGGGTTGGGTTGCAGGGGAGGTAAGAGGGGCAGGAGGAAGGATGGGAGGGAGAACTTTGGTTAGAATGTAAAATGAAATTTTAAAAAAATTTAATATAAAAAACATGTAAACAGAAAATACCTCAGGTAGAAGGTATAAAAAGTTTCTAAAACAGAAAAAAAAATATAAAACAAAGCTAAAAAATATAACAAATGGAAAAACACAGCCATATTCCTGAGTGTAAAGTCCCC